CGGCAGAGAGAGAGTGAGGGATATATTATACTCCCGTAGTTTTCTTGTAAGCAATATCTGAGCTTTTATAGAATTCTTTTGTGTTATCATATATTTTCGCTTCTATAGTCTGTTTCAATAAAACTGGGTCAACTCCTTGACAGTGATTCTCACTTGGGCACCCCGCTTAAATGAGGATGATTGATTATATATATATATATATAAAGTATTGTTTTGTTCATTAATTAATTAAAATGATTTACTTATAGGGTAATCAGTGAGATTGAGATTGCTTGTTGGGAGGATGAATGAGACTGAGAGTGACTTAGGCAATTTAACATACAAAGAATTTCTTGTAGAAAGTGAAGAGGGAAATTTAAAATGGCTTTAGATAAATAGAAGAGGTTTCTTAAAGAAATCCACAAAAGACAACCAACCAACATTGCACATATTAGATTTTACATAAACACAAATGACACTTGACAAAATTGTTAACAATAGGCTATTGCTTTTACCCCTAACCCAACTTTACTATAATCTTCAATGTGACCAGAAAATAGCACATGCTATGCAAGCTACCACATATTTAGTATGATAAAGTTTACCGTGCACGTGATAAAAAGGTCTCTTAGTTATTTAAGGGATAAGATTTCCACATTGACGCAAGATTATCCAGTAACATATATGCAAAAATGTGGCCAGCGGCCTAACCAGTACAACTGGCCGCCAGGTGTTATAATGACAGGAGCAGAGATACTCTAACCTCCAAATAAATTCAGGTTACTGTTGTCTTAAAATTAAAGTGCAAATACCAGTTTTAAACAGCTATCCCATGATTTTCAAACATTATTTTTCAAAAATCAACAACTAACAATAAAAAAATTTAGTAGTCACATTATGAGCTCGAACTTATAATCACATTCACGTAAATTAAGATACCAGAGTTTTGTTTGCAATTTTGGTAGAGGGAGAGCATACACTTGCAGCACTAGAGGGGGGAAAGGCAAGTCTTCTAGGTTGCAAATTACCCACCCGAGTACTACTGAAACATGTAAAATGAAATGAACAGCAGAACCTGTAAGAAATTTTCTTGAAAAGTTGTTGGGAGCAAATTAAAGGCCCTGACAAGTTGTCGAAAAACTTCAATGGTGGCATCTTAGCCATTTTCAGCAGGGTTCCAAATTTCACCCTCGACATGTGTAGCTCATATATATATATATACACACCCACGTGGCTCCGTGATACTCCTTCCATTATAATTTGCTCTGTTTTTGGATTAGTAGGCCAACTGCATTTCTTCCCTTGTATTCCTGCACTTTTCTAGTCGAGGACTTTCTCTCCAGTGGAAAACAAATTCCAGATTAACGTGCCTATAATATATAACACAACCGCCACTTTGAACACGTCATCCCAAGAACCTGGAGAGTTTTGTAATTTTAAGTGATGAAAGCAGGAAAACAAGAAAAAGAATCTCAAGTCGCAAATACCACTGCAGCATGATTTCGTCTTGCCATACCTCTTTGGAGTATATAGCCTGTTGCAGCTGTACCAAAGACACCAGCAAGCACACCTGCTGTATTTGATAATCCTAGCAAAACTCCCTGTCATTGGTGTTTTAGAATCTCATTTCAGAAACAGGTTAACAAGACTAAAAATTAAAGGACATCTGGGAAAAGTTTCTGAATTTGGTATAGTTTTATATTATGGTAGAGGAACTATTCAAAATTTGTCATTTATTATGTCCCTGTAGCAAAAATCTTTTAAAATTGAAGTAATATAGATGACAATCACTCACAGCATAACGTGGGCCGATATCTTGGTGATTGGAATAAAGACCGGATTGTGAGAATGCATCAGATCCCTGTCAACAAAAAACCATGTTTAACAGAAATTCTTTATCAAGTTCAGAAAAGAGTCAGAATAATTACATCCTAAGTCTTAAGTTATAGCAAAAAGCAGCATCTAGTTTTTTGCAGGCAGCATTTATACATGATTAGATTGTAACAAGATCTAGGATACTCAAGTCTATTGTGGTGGCTACACTACAAAGCACTAAATTTTAGCTGTTAAAAGTGAATGCCACTTAAAACTTGTACTCTTAGGCAGGAATATTTGATTTGAAATTAAGATGTTGTTGCTTCCTTTTTCAGGATACTAGGTTTTTAATGGTAATAACATTATATCATTCTTTGCATTTATAATCACTTTCCGTTATTTGCAATTTATGAAATATAATAGCAGACATGTTTGTAATGTATCTTTTAAATTCAGTTATATCTTTAAAAAAATTAAAATATTTACACTAAAAATATATTAAAAAAATAAACTGGCATATAACCCAAGCATGTTACTACAATAAAATGCAATCTTTTTAACTGCCGTTTTCTTTATATTTATACAATTAATATTAGATACATGATATTCCAATGCAAAATTTTTATTATCATTGAATATTCACCTATACAAGTATCAAATTAATGTGGCGGAAACAAATATAATCTTCACTTAAATCAAATTGAACAAGAATACCTGACTGCATGCCATGCATAGCACTGCCATAGCAGGAGTCCTGACATGGCTCAACTGTGAAAGAAAGAAAGCTGGGCCCAAAAACCCGATTGATTGCATGATCTGCAATATTAAGAGGAAACCATAAATATGACTGACTATTAGGGGTTATCAAGATTAGTACTTAACCACTTTATATCTATTCGTTTTTATCTCGAACGAAATTAACAAGAATTCCATCCAGGGGTTTGTTTGTCTTCCTGGGCACAGAATGTTACTTTATTATTTAGTAAGCTAGAATTAGGGACAATATCTATATTTGCAAATTAACAATATTCCTAGAAAACCAAAATCTGATGTAATTAACGATTAAATGCAAAAATAAACAGTGCTGTCAAGCAGTGATATCAGTTCTTGCCTTACGAACTGCTGTTATTGAAAGACCTCTGCTTACAAGACTGTCTGCTATCCAACCTCCAATATTCGCAAAAACAGCCATGGTCAACCAAGGCAAGACACAGAGTAGACCTGATTCGGTGAGGTTGAACTTCAAAACCTGGGAATATCAATTTTATGAGATTGCTGTTATTTAAGTATGCATCACGAGGAAAGTAGAAAAAGAAAAAAAGCAAAAATTTGCATCTAGTACTGGGTTATCCTATAATTATTTTGAATATTACACAAGTTAATGTCATACTAGGTTACCTTTAATCCTTGCACAATTGAATATAAAACCTCAAATGCATGCCAACAATTTTTTTCTGCATATTCTTTGCAAACTAAGTCTACTGAAAGCTTTTGCTGAACTCTTCATCTAAATGGAATCTTCAGAAGCATTTCATAGCAATGTAGCTCCAAATTAACTGGCAGTAAGAGGTAAACAGTGCTGCATCTATGAAAGAAAACTAGCCACTTGCAAGCAACAACAGATCTGAAACAACATATTGTATTTACAATAGACACGAAACCAGGCGAAGGACTATGTACTTCTAAAGATGCAAGTGAAGATTTCATTCTTCTATGCAGGTCAATGTTCCACTTCAACATATATAATCAGGCCCATGAGGGTTCAACTACCTGATTGTAATATGTCGGCATCCAGGTCAAAAGTATAAAAGTTCCCCAATTATGGCAAAAATGAGAGATTATAAGGGCCCAGACAGGTGCTTTTGATAATATTAATTTCCAAGGAATGACTGTAACAGGTTCCTTTGAAGTTCCGCCACCTAAGATTAGTTTTTTCTCTTCTGCACTAAGCTCTGGGTCTTCTTTAGGTGAACTATGGGCCTAGCAAGAAGTCAATCAAAAAGGGAGAAAAATTAATGGAGTTAGATTTAATGGAATCTGTAAAGTGCAGACTACATCCAGTTGATCTCTTTTTCTACAGAATTAAGCTGAAAACTGAAGTTTATTTTGTAAGAATAAAAGATTATGTGTCCTTAAAAAACTAGATACAAGAAGAAACAACATACTTTTAACAGCCATAATGCAAACCAAATGCTTCCAAGAGAACCAAAAGAGTAGAAGACCGATGGCCACCCAAACTTGTGGATTAGAATGGGAGAGGCAGCCAAGCCAGTAACAGAACCAAGATGCATGCCACTATATACTAGTGAAAGTGATCTGCTTCTTTCAGATACAGGAATCCACTTAGAGAGTATGTTATTCATAGCAGGCATGGCGACACCCTGAAAGAAAGTACATCACATTTTTAAGCCAGGACAAAAATGTGAAATGAAATAGACAAATACACAAACAAAACCCAGCATATCAGGTCATAGTCATTCGAAATGCAAAAAATGCCATAAACTGCCAATTCAATGGAACAATAAAATCTCTAACTTCCCAGATTATGGAACTTTGAAGTTCTGGCATGATCTTCAGAAAGATGACAAAAATATTCAAAATGGCTTTTCTGCCCACTTTTATATGTAATCCAAAAGGTTCTTGAGTAGCAAATGCGTCAAAACTAGCGAACCATAGATTATTAGGACATAACCCAAAAAAAATAAAAAGAGGCTTAACAGGATGCCAACCTCCCCAATGCCCATAAAAGCACGCATAACAAGCAAAAATGGAAGTCCGATTTGTGCAGCAATAGGTGTCAAAACTGTAGCAACTGACCACCAGACGACCCCAAATCCTAAAACTAGCTTCCCACCAATCTTATCTGCCCATATGCCGCCAACAATCTGTGTGCCAAAAAGATAATAAGATATGGTTAAATTGGAGGGTTAGAAGAATATCTATTATAAAATGGGGGGCGTGTGAAATACATGAATCTAATTTGAAGCATGGTGAAGTCTTATTCTCATAGATAAAAAAATCCTGCAGGACCATGTACCAGCTGCAGAAGCTTGATCAAAGCATGCAGAATTAAATCCACTTGTAAATTTCTAAAATATTTTGGGTTTGCTTGAGCCATACCTGTGTGAGTAGATAACCCCAGAAAAAAGAGGATTGAATTAAACCAACTGTTGCACTGTTCCAATTAAACTCTTTCGACATTGGAAGTATTGCGATGCTCATATTTACCTACAGTGAACATCAAAATTAGCTAGCACATAAAATAGAGGGCAGTAGCAAGCAATTTACAAGTATTTCTTGTGATGATAATCATCCATAAAAAGAACTAACAGGAACACTTACTCGATCCATGTTGCATAATAGAAATGCTGCAAAACAGAGTAGCACAATCACCCACCGCTTCGGAAACTGCTGCCACCATGCAGATTTTTCCTGCACATTTCCTACTAAAACAGCCTCAGCTGATCCATCTGAAGACTGCAAGGAGTCAACATTTGCCTCAATTATGTCATAGTCCTCAGACTTATAATATGCACGTGTCCTGTTCACCTTAGTATGTGCACCTGGTTGTCTTTGCCCATTGCTCAAAGCAAGCTTGTGGTTCACACTTGGTTGAAGCCTACAATTAGAGGTGGAACTTCGAGAAAGATAATGCTCATAGCATCTACTAGTTTTTCTGCAACACATTTGACTAGACTTCATGGACACACCATGCAAAGCTTGCGCACGTTTCACAGTTTTCTCATCTGCGTTGCCAGCACCGAAGGGAAATAAGCAGTATCTGTGTCCAGATACAACACCACTACATGCCATCCGACCACAGAACTTCCGTTGGAACATAGTCCTCTGTGGATTTGATGCAACAGCGACACTTAATCTCTCACATCCATGACGTGAAAGAGCTTCTTCCTTTTGATGAACTTTACCTGCAAATCAAGTTAGTTAATAAAAGAAGAATGATAATGCGGTGCAGATATAAACTGCCAATCAGCGATTCTAGGAGAAAGAGAATCTGACTGATAAATCATCCCTACCTTCTGGAATAAGTAACTTATTTTCTACATGATATATGTATTATCTTGCATTACTGAAAATATCAGAAAATCTCTCCATAACATTTGACCGGCCAATTGTACTAGAGTGATACGAGCAATAGATCAAATCAAATGACTCATCTTTACAAAGAATTTGTAGGGCCACACCGTGAAATCATTGCATAAGATTCACAGTGGCATTCATTACACATACCAAGAGGTGTATGGGCCAATTTACTACTCTGACCAAGTAGATTTTCCAAATCTCCTGATGGGGAAAGAAAAAACCAATTTTGTTTCAACTGAAAACTAGACCATTTGCAAGCACCATGAATCATAACGCTATTGCAATTGGCAAAACTGTTATAACAGGAAACACAACAATCCACATGGAACCAGAAAGAGAGCAGGAAAAAGAGTCCTGATTGGAGGGAAAATATTTATCATTCACATTGGTTGCCAAATTCTTCTTTTCCTTTTATTAATCTGAACAAGATGGATTTAGATGGCCATAACAAAATGAATAAATGAAACTAAAACATCCTTCCAGGTTTGAGAAAGATATTTATTACTCATATTGGTTGCCAAATTCGTCTTTTATTTTTATTAATCCAAACAAGATGAAATAAAATAATGAAAAAATTCAAACCAATGAATAAATGGAACAACAACAATCGTTCTGATATGAGTTGACTGCTAACTTGAACAATCTGTAGTTATTGATATTATCAAACAATTTTGTTGCAGCTCAATTCTATAATTCAGTATCATGAAAGGATAAGGCAATAAATTTTTTTTCCCTATATCCAGTTAAAGAATTATAATTCAAATAAAAAAAAAATCAACATATAAACATCAAAAAGCCGATAAATTAAAAAGAAAATGAACATTCAAGTGAAGAATCACTAGAGAAATAAAAGTCCTCAAAATGTAGCTAAATTTTCTGCTCGAAAAACTAAATAACACGCAAACCAAACTATAACAAGAATTAATGTGAAATGCAAACAGTAAAATAGTACCTGAGCCTATAAACGAACGGAAATTCCGGTTCGAAATCAATCCGCCGATGGCCATTAATTGCTTTAGCGCAAAGCTTTTTAAGAACTGGAAGCTGACAGTAGTTAGAGTTCACTACACCATTTTACACTTTCGAAAACGGAGCTCGAACCCGGAAAACACAACACCGTTGGGAGTCCTCTGCCTCTGCTACCTTCTTCGAGAGAGAAGTAGAGGATAAACAGAGGAGATTTTTGTGGATTTCTATTTTTTTATTCAAAAGCGGGAAAGAAATTCCCATGGTTTTTCATATACACAAACGAAAGGAGGGTCGAGAGGGCGACACGTGGCATGTCATCCTCCCGAGAGCAGGTTCCCAATTGCAAGCCCACAAAATAATGGAAATACCCCTCGATGTAAGGGAAAACTACAGTGAGTTTTCGGGCTTGTTGAATGTAAAAAAGAGGAGATGGGATGGGCATTATTGGAAAGCAAGTTGGGAAAATCTGAACCGTACCTGACGTGGGGTTTGAATAGGGACGAGACAGCCACCGGAAAAGAGCATGGAAAGGGATAGAGTGACGCAAATTTTTTATTTTTTAATTTACTTTTTAAAATTGAAATTAGTTTTTTTAAAATTATCTGAAAATTATTTAGAATAAGACACATGGAAAATGAGATACTTGTTGAATATCAAACTTATAATCGTCAAGTCATCACTAATTTTTATCAATGTCAAACCGTCCAAATAATATTTTCATATGTTTTTTTCTTAAAAAAAGGAATTTGTTACCACATAATTGGATGATGAAAAAGATGTTATAAAAAAAAAGGACTACGATTGCTCTTTTTGATATTCCTTATCACCGAAAAGGGCGAGGCTCCACCATACCCGGGCGACAATTGCTCTACAAAGAAAGTACAGATAAGGAAGGATGTCGTTGATCCATCGGAGAATGGTGACGATGCTACGAAGCATATGAATGATGAGGAAATGGAAGAGGCAAAGGAGATGGAATTGACAGCCTTTGAAGATGAGATCCAGAAGATTACCGAATGGCATGTAACAAGTCCAACAGAAATCTGGGGCCTGAACAGAGAATCTTTTCAAGATAAATTGACCAACACTAGGCCCTCGGATTGAAAACAAGACGACTTTAAACTCAACGAGGATGATATGACCCTGGACACAAAAGGCAAATTTTCCACAATTTTTTTCTCGAACAGGGTCCACAACTACATCTCTCAATCTATGAAAAACTCTATTATCATTTAACTCCTAGGCATAGCCATCGGATACCAACCCCTGTTAGTACGCTTCTAGAATCTCTAGCGGTTAGTGGGTACCTTTAAATTGGTCGACCTGGAAAACAATTATTACCTCGATAAATTTAGTGATCCAAATGGTTTTACACACACACTCACTGGGGGTCCCTAGATCATCTTCAACCATTATTTAACCTTTCAACCTTGGACCTCGTCTTTCTTAATGAACAACGATAGAGTTGCCTCGGTGGTGGCGTGGGTCCATTTTATCGGTCTATCCATTCAATATTACCATAAAAGTGTGTTGAGAGCAATTACCAAAGCAATCAGAATGGTGGTCCGCAATAACTATAATACTTAGTCCTCTAAGAGAGGAAAATTCACTCAGCTCACTGTTGCGGTGAACCTCACCAGGCCACTAGTCTCAAAAATTTTAGTCAAAGGGTATCTGCAAAGAGTCGAGTACAAGGGATTACCTACCATCTGCTTTGAATGTGGATGTTATGGCCATCTTAAAGAATATTGCCCCCAAAGCACGAATCTCAACATCGTGGAAAATGGAGGAGACGGTGGTTTTAATAATGAACAGACTTCACCGTTGATGGCTATTGACAAGAAGTTTGGCCCCTAGATGCAGATTGTTCGTTGGGAAGGAAATTCGACAGAAAAGATACTTCATAAACTAACAAGGAAACTACCATGAATAAAAGAAAAATAATTTACGGGTCAAGATTTGATTTGATTGTGAAAATTGGAGATTCAATTCTGGAAGCCAACAGATACATGGTGGAAATATAAAGAAAAACCCTAGCGGCATCAACTGTAGGGGAGAGAATAAGAGAAAAGGAAGACCAAAATTCGGTAAATGTAATAAGGAAAGGAGCTAGTATGAGAAAAGGAGCCCTAGCAAATTAGACAGGTCAAAACAAAGCCAACCCAATACCATGGAAAAGCTTGGGCAAACGCACGAATCTTTGGAATTTGAAAATAGAATTGAGGTGCGAATCCAAGAAGGAACGGAACACATGAAGGAAATGGATTGAAGCCCAAATCTGGACATCCCCATTAATGGCAGCCCACATGCCACTATCTAACGGGTCAGCTCCTTACTGGATCAGTGCAAGAACACTATGGTCCGGATTGAGGAATGGGTTAAGCAACCTGCAACCCCCCTGCCAAACTCTTTTTACGATTAGATTGATTGCATTGTGCGTAACTTTATCTGGGGCTCCTTGAGTGATTCCAAGAAGTTGAGCCTGATCAATTGGGATACCTTGTGTCAGCCTACTTCTTATGGGGGAAGTGGTGTCTTGAGACTCAGGGACTTAATAAGGTTTTCTTTAAGAATGTGGGTTTCATCATGATCACTAAACCGCACCTTTGGGTTAAAGTTCTCCGGTATAAGTATAATTGGAGTTATCCTTGTAGGAATACCTCCCACTTGAGTAACAGCTCTCATCTGTGAAGGAACCTGAACGACATCTGGGAATCTTTGGATCATGGTTTGGCTTGACACATTAAATATGGGAACACTGTGAGATTTTGGGAGGACAACTGGCTGGGGAACTATGGTCTGCTTAAGCTTCTTGCCTTCCAACTTGTTAATGAGACCCAACGAATTGAGTGTGTTAGGGCCTATGTGACCCCTATCCGCAATTAGAATTGGGGGCCCTTGTAGAATATTCTTCTGGCAGGCATCTTTCTCCAGCTCCGCATGATGACCTGGGAGTGGATGTACCCTACTGGGGACTCACTTCTAATGGTAAATTTACTGTTAACCCCGCTTGTAATATGTTTACTGATATTTCTTCTCTTTTGCAGATAACGAGTGGAAGCTCGCATGGACTTGGCCAAGGGCTCAACAGGTTCGCATTTTCTGTGGTTGGTCTTGCGAAAGAGCCTACTTACAAATGAGGAATTGGTTTATAGACATATGACTTATGACTCGGCTTACAGCACCTGTGGTCATGGCATTAAAGACCTCAACCATGTCTTAAGATAGTGTCACCAGGCCAAGGGTCTTTGGCTTAAGATCGTTTCCCATACAGTGACACACTCCTTTTTCAACTCTTACTTTAATGACTAGTTTACCGACAACCTATAAAATATGTATAGTTAGTGCTCCTCTTTCAGTGACTTGAAGATTGTCTTTGGTCTCACTAGTTGGCTACTCTGGAAACAACGTAACTCCATTATTTTTGGCGACAACCAATCCAACCTAGATTAGTTGAGACAGGCCACCTTCAGAATGATTGCTTACACCTCTCAGGCTATCACCATGAGGAATGTTATTTTCGGGTACCGAAGCCGAAAAGAGGAGGGTCTTATTAGCTGGACCCCATCGACTCAGAGTTGGATCAATGTCAACACGGGCGTTGCCTTCCGTAACAGCTCTTATATGGCTTGTACGGGTGGGATTGCTAGAGATGACCATGGGAGATGGCTTGAGGGTTTCTTCCGGAAGATTAATACTTGCTCCGTCCTCCAGGTTGAGCTCTGGGGGTCGCTTAACAGACTGGAGTTAGCTTGGAGACTGGGCGCGCACCATGTCATCTTATAGATGGACAGTGCTACTACGATTCAAGCCCCAAATAAAATTCCGAACATAAAACTAACTCCCACCAGTGCCAACTTCAACCTGCTCCTGACTTTGAAAGATTGGTGATTTAAGGATTAGAATGTCAAAATTCAGCATGTATACTGGAAGAGGAATAAGTGCGCCAATTTGTTAGCTAATATGTCCTTTGCTTGACCTCCTGGTTTGTACCATCGGTATTACAATTTAATAAAACTCACCGAGATCATAAGGGATGATATTATTGGAGTTTTCTGGCCTAGGATGTGCAACATTTATTCTTGTCTTGTTTGAAAGCCTTGGTGTTTTTTCTTTCTCTTGTAACAAAAAAAAAAAAAAAGTGTTGAAAATTTATTTGTAAATGTAAATTTTTTAAAATTGAAAAAATACATGATAAATTTGCCAAGAATTTTAGTATGAATTTGTAAGCCTTGAGATGAATATAAGATATTTTTCACTTTATAAGAATTATTTTTCAAATTCAGCATCTTACAAAATTTCTCACCAAAACTCACATGGAATAAATTTAGATGTGAAAACAAATTTATAATTAACATTTTCATGAGGTAGTTAACTATTGGAGACAGTTACAAAATGATGAAGAACAAAGCATATTACAACTAAGACAAGTTTATAACACCTGAAAACAAATATGAAATATATATGTCTTATAATAAAGACAATTCAATCACAACGTACTTTAAATTTTCTTCTTCTACCCCAACAATGACTTAACAGTACTGAATTAGTAACGTTTTGCCAATCATCAAACCTATCTTATCTCAAATACAGTGGCTAATGGCACTCTTTGCTTCAGAGGATGCAAAAATAAACTGACCCTCTTCATTTCTTGGCATTGTACATTGACTCCACCTTACCATCATTTCCTCCCAGTAACATATACTTGTCCTTCCTGGTTAATACGGTCCGTTCAAACCCTAACACATCACCCAACACCTTCTGCACGTAATTCGCCACCTCGATCGGCGATTTCCCTCCGGCTTTACACGTCATTTCCTCCGGTAGGCGGTCGAGGAACGTCACCTCGTAAGTGGGTCTCGGATTCATGAAGAAGTAATACGGATCCCAAAATTTTACACCACGTACCGTCGTCCCGTAAAACATGTTCTGCTTACAATTGACTGCCACCGGCACGATTCTGTCGCTCATCTCGGCGAACAGTGCACTGAATCGCAGCAAGAAGGGTTCCCGACACGTGGTGCCCTCCGGGCACACCACGAGGTCGCCTTTTTGGAGGAGTTCCGATATGCGGGCTGCGTCAGCCGCACGGTCGCGGGTCAAGGCGACGGCTGGGATTGGAGATAGGAAGCGTGAGAGACGGCTTACACTGTATGTGACACAGGAGACTTTGCGTCCGAGAGCAATGGCGATAACGATGGGGTCGAGGGCCGTGCGGTGATTGCAGACATAGAGGTTGCCGGGGGAGCCGCGGGACGGGGGAGGGGGTGGGTTCCCGCGGATGATGAGGTGGATGCCGAGCATTTCGTAAGTGTAGCGTACAATACGCTCCGGGAGAGGGAGGTTGAAGTAGACGCGGATGATGGATAATATGAAGCCAAATGGCAGCCAGATGTAGATGATGAGGGCGTTGAGTGGAGTCGGACGCTGAACCAGACGACCGTCATGGAAGATGATTCGGCTCTTGAGGCTGTCTAATGGTGCTCGTGATGCTGATTTGCGGCGGTGCACCATGTACCCCTCCTGTATGTACGCAACAACACAATGTATCAGCGAGGTAACTGGAAAGAACTGGTTATTATTATGAACTTGATGGGTAAATAACATGACATATTATGATAAGCAACAAAACAAATCTTAGCAATTTTATTAGTTGAACATATGCGGCCTCATAGGAACAAGAACTTATGGGAAAGAGTTTTGCTGCAAATTAATAAATGTAATGACACCTTTGTTCATATAAATTTACTAATGAAAATCTGATGGTAGAGTCAGAGAAATGATATGATTTAGAATCCTTCAAATGTATTTTACAAACCAAACATAAAAAGAACATATATGTATATATAGGTTTTGAAAGTGTGATCAGTTATACACGTGCTATGCCAATATGTAAGCAAACAAAAATTTTACCAAAATGACTGCAAAAAATACTTTCATTGATAGAAATTTACATATATTTACACAATATAAGAACAAATGCATTCGTAGTTTTGGTTAAAATCAAATAAATTTTCATCTTTTCATCTTTTCATCTTAGCCTTTAGATAATTAATTATCTTAAAATTGTGAAGTAATAAAAATTACCAAAAATTCTCTTTCACTCTGACCAGTGGGTTAAAATTACTATGCATTGTTGACTAATGCACCAAAAATTACTAAAATTGTAAATTTAGAAATATTTTTCAAAAAATTATATATATTTAAAATTATGTGGAGTCTCACTATTTAAGATTAAGGGCAGCCCTTCGCTATGAACTAGTACTTGAATTTTTATTTTATTATAGTTTGTAATAAAAATTAACACACACATGCAACTCCCCTGATAAAGTTATTATTGTTATTTAAAAATTCTACCTATTATTTGTACTTCAACACAACTTGCTAGTTATGGGATAACATGTGTACCAAGCACAAACCCTCTCTAATATTATATAAAACCCACAATTTATATCACACCATTTAGTAAATGATGCATAGAAAAGACTTAATATTAACATATTTTCATTAAGAACCAAATAATTTGGGCCATAAAAATGGGAAAACTATTTTTTGGAAGCAAAAGTTTGGCATTTTGGCTGTTTGGCAGCAGGCGGCAACTGGCACATGAAAGTTTTAATTACTTTACCTGGCTGGTAGTTGGAGGTTGGTTATGAATGCGGGTCCTAAGGCCTTAAAATCGTTTACCCAACCTCAAATGTCCACACTCCATTTTTCAAGTTACACTGAATTAATTGGACCTTTTGTATTTATAAGTCGTATTATTCCGTACGTAACCGACACTAACAACAGCAAGAAAAGAAATTTTATCTAAAGAAACGCAACCAACCAATAGAATAAAAGAGATTAACAATATAAATATATATATATATATGTAAGATCATCACGCTTCGTCAGATTAAATTACATTATATTATATATAATCTAACTTAAATTAACCACGAACCATACCAAACATGTATTAATTTATGCACAAACCATCATGATATTTGGAGACTAACCTTGCAAATAGACATGAAATCGTAATCCGAAGTGCGGTCCCCGATGCCAAGATCGGGAGATTCCTCTCCGAATTCCTTCAAGAGGGCGAGTCTCTTCAATTTGCCAACTAAAACCCCCGGTTTCTTCACGAATCCGGTGGCCTTCTTGGTTTTCGGGTTCACTTCGATCTCAGTCCCTAAAACCTTGTCACCGCCAAGAAAATCCTTCACAAACGGCTCCACCATTATGATTGGGTTTGCCGTCACCACCACCTTCCTCTTGCACTTGTCGAACACCTCGTAGCTTTCCTTTCTCACATCTGTAGCGTAAAACCTAACCAAACACGTGTTGTGAACAGAGAAATAAACTTCTAAGTTTTCATCCTCAACTTGCAACCAGTACTTATCTAAATATTTAATTGATCCGAAATCATTCACATGATGAGTAACATACTTGAAATTAGTTGATGATTAAAGACTAGAAAAAGAAAAAGAAAAAGAAGAGCAGCTTTATAACTCCAAACAGAGGAATACTCCCAAGTATCAATAATTTATAACTAACTACGCTTTTGAGACTATACCGAGGCAGAACAGCACGCGATGCAAGCTCGATATCGCGGATTTTGAGGCCAGCGAAGGAAATGAAAATGAGGATTTGGATGCCGATGGCTTCAGAGATGAAAAGATAAGCGACAATGACGATAGGAAGAGAAAGAAGCAGTACGAGGCCACGAAGAAGACTTCCTGCTTCAATAGCGACTAGCATGAAATAGGGAAAGGAGCTGCTGGACATGAGTAGAGTACCATCAAGATCCGCAGCGATCGACTCGTAATTTGAACCCCCGCACGCCGATATCGGAGGAAATTTTGACCTCTGCTTCTGCGATGACATGTTTCCGGTCGGATATGAACCTGGATACCTTCAGTTTCTTCGTCCCCAGACTGATATTTTTCTGTTCAGTATAAGGCTGATTTTGTTTTCTGTGTTCGGTTTTATTAGCAGGAAGGGGAATCGGGAGGGAATCGGAGGAGGATAAGAGGGAACGTTGAGTTTTAAATGTGGCGGTTGGCGAATGAATTTACAAAATTGGGCCTGAACTTTTCTTGACACTTTCGTGTTGTTATTTTCATCGTTTAGGTCAACGGAAATTTGGGACTACATGACAGTAGGAAGTAACATATTTTGGTTTTTAAGTTTCTTAAAATTGATATGACTAAAGGGATTTAATCAAACAATTATATCTATTTTTTATTTGAGAGCTAATTTTGAATTTTTTATTGTACAAAGTTTTATATACTAAGGTATATTAAAAATAAATAAATTTTCTTAATTAGTATAAATCAATATTAAGTGAACAAACTCCATTTGGAATAGATTAAGTGATTAAAACTTATGTTATATAAAAAAAAAAGTGACCAGAACTTATCGTATTAAAATTTCAAGTAATTTTATATATTTTCACATAAATGATAGAGAAAAATGTCTCAGTTTGTTTATTAGAGAAATTTTTTTGTAAATAACATAACTAAATACACATATTCAATTGAACATGAAATCGAATTCGATTGATATCGTTTTTATTACTTCGCAAGGGAAAGTTCAATCCAAGTTGAGACGTGGAGCTATACAAGTGTTACAGTGAGCACGAACATGTATAGTCTCATTGTTGGAAGCATAATATATATAACTATTGCGAAAGACTATGACACTTTATTCTATATTACATAAATTTAAAGGGTAAACAAAGTCACACAACCTTTGTTAGTATGAGGAGCAATCAAGATACAACAAACTCTAACGAGAACTTACTTACACCACAAATAATTCAAAAGATGATTCAAGAATTAGTACAAGTTATTCTTTAAGGTGCTATCTTTTTTTACTTTTCTTGTTGCTAAGTTATCAAATAAAAGAATTAAATCTATCCCTTGGTATCTTGATTTTGTTACTTTTAACTGATGTTTGGATAAGAACATGTTTTTGTTGAACTCAAACCTTATCATTTTCATCAACATGTCACTATTGCCAATGAGAAAAAATTACCAATTAATGACATTATGTTGTGTGTTTAACTAATACATTAAGAGAATCCTTATACCTCCCTAATACTTTCTATGGTCATCAATTAATTGCTAACTTAGGCTCTATTAGATCATTAAGTGGTCAAAATTATACTAGTTAAATTTTCTTCTCTTTGTTGTGATATATAGGACTTCAAATGGGGCAAGTGATCACAAAGGACATAAACATGGACATTTTTTTCTATCTCGAGTTGTACCACAAAAAGAATCATCCATCATGTCTTTTAGTCTTGACTTCTACATTTAATTCCCATGCCAATAATACTTAGAATCTATGGCATTATCACGTTAGTCCCTCACATCTCAGTAGGTTAGAATTTATGTTCAAATCCAATTATCTTTCAAACAAGTCGAATGTTAAATCTTATATTTCACAAATTGTCAAAGTTATGCTTTATGCATATTTTGCTAAATTATCATTTGGTTCTAGTATTTTAGTAATGAAAGTACTTTTTATCCAGTGCACTTTAATTTGTGGGAATAATTGCCTATTCCGTCTAGATTTAGTTACAAATATTTTATTTTATTTATTTTTTACTTGGATATATCTTTTATAAGCAAAATCTGCACTAGTAAATATAGCCAAGAACTTTATTATTATGATTGAAATACAGTTCAAAAAATTAGTTAAAATTTCTCGTACAGACATTAGGGGCAAATTTTTTGTATATGATCTTAATAAATTATTTTAAGAGAAGTGGATTTTAACCCAACAATCATGTCTCAGCATACCAAAACACAACAAGGTAGTTAAATAAAAATTATGTCATGATTTAGAAGTTGTTCTGACTCCTCTAATCGAATATTATGTTATTCCTCAATTTTGAGAAAAAGCAATTCATATAAATATGTATCTTACTAATAGAAAAACTATTTCAGTTCTTGATAATTAATCTTCCTATTTTGTACTCTTTAGACAATCACCATATTACATCTTCATATCTTGATTGTGTTTGTTTTGTGTTACTTCCCTCACATGAACGAAACAAATTAATTACAAAAATTATCAAATGTCTTTTTGTTGTTTATAGTGATAAATAAAAGGGCTACGTTTTCTATGATCCTCAATTTCAATGTTTGTGTGTATCTCATCATTTTATTTTATTAAAAGTGTGCATCTTATGTTTTATCTCCTAATTCACCAACTACTAGTTCCACCATTTATTTTCTATATGATTTTTCTAAATCTCAATCCAATGATGATAAAAACAACATCTATCATGTTAATAACTAATAGCTTTAGAGATTCAGTCTCTATTTTCTCCATCAATGCACCAACACCACCTACACCACCTTTGGAATGATATATCCCAACTTTAGTAGACCATCTACCAGGCACTGGACTAAACATGTTAGAGGGAGAAAGGCTATGGAAGAAGAACTTAAGGCATTGAAGGATAATCATACTTAGGACATAGTTCATTGACCAACTACTACTTCTGGGTTTATATAATTAAGGTCAAGATCAACAACACTTTAAACTAATATAAAGCTCGTTTAGTAATACAAGAGAATAAATAGGAGTATAGAATTGGTTATGAAAAAACTATTACTCTTATTATCAAGATAACCATGATCAATACTCTATTTACTACTCTATTAGTTAAAGTGAAAAAAGTTTTTCCTCAAGAAAATTTGAAGGAAATTGTTTATAAAGAGTGTCTTCCATATTGTTCTCTTGCTGATCCTAATCTAGTTTGTCAACTTCGTAAATCCCTTTATGAACTTAAACAAGTGCTTAAAACATGGTTTAAAAAATTTTAGTTTGTTGTATGTTCAGCAGGTTTTTGACAAAGTTCCAATGACTACTCTATTCATCACTCACATACTAACATTGTCATTTTAGTTAGTATAGGATGATATGATTATTGTAAGAAGTGATCAACAAAAAATCATATAATCCAAACATTTTTTCAATGATTCTTATCACATAAAGACTTAGGCACTCATATATATTCTTGGATTATAAGGGTCATATTCATCTCATGTCATTCTTTTTCCTCAACACAATTACATTAAATACTTATTTAAGTTAATTAATCTTACTGATAATAAAATTTTCGCTACTCTAATGGAACAACATTTGAAAGTAAAGTGAGATGATGATGCACATATCCTTGATCTTGCTCTTTATTAATGCTTAATGAGTAGTCTCATTTATCTCAGTATCATGGATCTTAATATCTTCGGTGATGTTCAAGTTGTAAGTCAACATTTGCTATTTGAAAGGTACTTGTGATTACAAGCTCTACTTTCTTTCTAACACATCTCTTACTCTTATAACATTCAGATGAAAATTATGTTGGAAGTGTTGATATTCAATATTATGCGAATTGTGTTTTTGGGTGATTTTCTTATCTCTTGAAAAGATAAGAAGTAAGGATGAGAGTCAAAATCTTGCATAAAAATTAAGTATTGATCTTTATCTCTATTAATTTTGAAGATATATATCAAATGACTCTTTATGGATCTTGGTATTGTATGCTCTTAACCAACCACTCTCTTTAGAGACAACACCAATGTTATTAGCATTGCTACTAATATGGTCCACTATGAGCAGACTAAATACATGGAGGCGGATTGCTATTATATATGTGAACTTGTTCGTGACAAACTTTTCAATCTTGTCCATGTCACTGTGATGATCAAATTACTGATCTATTTTCATTTTAACTATCCAATTAGTAATATTTTTACTATTTATACACTTAATTTTATTAATGCAACTAACTAGCTGGTAGTAAAATAGGGTCAATAAATGCATTAATTAAAAAAAATTGGATTTGGGTGGATGAAGAAATGTTTCTATTAATTTGTGAGATTCAAGGTTATAAATTCTTGAAAAGTAAATCAATATATATGTTTAGTACGTTTATTTAACTAGCTCCGAATAAGTAATAAACATATAGTAAAGTGGGTATAACTCAAAAACTTGATCATAAAATAATTAAAAATTAACACATGAATAAAAATCAAATTTGTAATTTCTAATGGAAATACTTTAGCAAAAAAAAATATATATTAATTACATTTTCTATAAATTAATTTGACAAAAAGCAAGACACTGCTCAAATTTTAAACTACGATTTATAAAATACTAAAACACACCCACCCAACCCAACATATTTATGTGTTTTTTCTTTAATTAAAATGAACGTATAAATTAATTTTGATTTAAAAAATGATGTTATCATGAGACTTATTTTAATAATATAATACCCTAATTAATTACGTACTAGACTTTTTTGTGTGTTTGGTTTGAAATTTGTCATAGTTTAGATGGAGTAGTTGAACGCTTGAAAGCTTAAACATGCAAATTCGCGATACACACGAAAAGTAATTATCATGTACACCCACATATAAATAATAAATTTAATTTATTATTTGAAATTATATTAGGTTCGAATTAATGTTTCAAACATTGAAAATTTATTTTTTCTTTCTATTATCCACACGTCTATTCCTCTTTGGACCAAGAACTAATCGTCTGGGTCAGCAACAATTTAATGCCAATTGCCAAGATTCAAACGACTTACTTGGATCTGACACTGTGTATCCATCGTTTTTAAAAAGTTAATTTCCATAAAATTTTGAAATCAACCCATTAATTTTATGGAATTTCTAAAAAGTATATATGCTTTTAAAATATTACATATATATATATGTTTACATATGGAAAGTTAAAAAAAAAAAAAAAAAAAAAACAACTAGTTGCGGATAAGGTAAATGTTTCTTGGACTATTATTTTATTATTATTCTGCAGAGAAAGGAAAATGTAACTGGTGATTGATGGAAGCAAACTTGTATCTGTGTATTTTATATAGGAGGTAGGTGTAGGGTTACAATAAGCAATAATAATGATCGCATCGCATGGGCGTTTTTAATTAAAAATTAGTATTTTTAATTTACCCTAGTTATTTTATATTTATAAAAAAAAAACATAATAAATATTAATTATTATAACTTTACTAATCTAATAATAAATTAAATTATTATTAATCTCAAACCCACCCACAAAAATAAGAATGTCTGTAACATAGGAGGTGTTTGGCTTTAATCATAAATATAGAACAATTGTATTATTTAATGCATTACACCACTTTCTGGCTTATGGTTAGATGTGTGTGTCTCCTCCCACCAACTTTCCCACTTTACTCCAACCCCATCTTATTTATTTGCCTTCTGTACTTGTCACGTGCTGTATTTATAGCTTCTTATACATTTATATATATATATATTGCTCTCTCTCTCTCTCTCTCTCTCTCATATGTATCCAAATAGCTTTTGATAAAATTTCTATATAATTTTTCTTTAATTTTTAAACATTATTTTTGTTTTTAATAATATTTAAATTTTTAAAAAATATTTAAATGTTATTCTAACGACATCCTGGTATCATTTATTTAAATAATAAATACAAAATAACATTATAAATATAAAACATTAAATATTTAATTATCAAATTTATTCTCCTACCCATTTCCAATATTTATAATTTTTTCAAATTTATACTTTTTTTTATCAAAGATTATAAATTTATAATTTTGTAACACCACAAACCGTACGGCATGATTACGGGTTTTTTTACCTTCGGTGATATATTATTACTTCCAAATGAATGCCTAGGCCCTAATTGAAAGCTCAAAGCCCTCATTGAAAGCCCAAATAAATCCTAAGAAAGCACGAAGATTAAAAAACTAACACAATAGAAACAAACAAACACTGATTAAAGCCAGCAAATTTATACAACCAAACTCCACCAGATCCTAATATATATATATATATATATATATATAAAGAGGAGATAAATTATTAGAGGAGGGCTTTCGTTTTAGCCTCTGGTTTTGAATGGGATGGCTCTGATGACAATCTGGTGATAAAGCGCAGCAAGTGCAGCTCCAATGAAAGGTCCTACCCAGAACACCCACTGAAATATCAAGTACCAAAACATTAATATCACACAACCATTTCTTGCATCAATCATAAATATAAACACGTTTAACTTAGTTTCTTCAAATTTCACTCACATGGTGATCCCAGGCAGTGTCATCGTTGTAGATGATGGCAGCTCCGAGGCTTCGGGCAGGGTTGATGCCAGTTCCCGTGATGGGGATGGTTGCCAAGTGAACCAAGAAAACCGCAAACCCAATTGGAAGTGGAGCTAATATCTGCAAATTCAAAGATGTTTATGATATTCATATTGCAGGAAATGAAATTATATCCTGTCGACTTATTTTATTTTTCTATGGTTTGCTGACTAGTAAATTACGACGAATGTGAAAACGATTTTGAGCCATCTGATGATTTATTCTCTAGCTTGGACTAAGTTAAGACTCAACCATGCAAATATCTTGTCAGCATTCGTTGTGTCGTGATTTTTATTCTACTAAATTCATCATTGAAATGCCCGAGTACATTACACTAGCTAGTTTTTTTGGAAGAAACTTACTTTGTTAAGGCGAAAAACTTCCCAGCTTAATCCAATTTTATACATATATATACACATACGGAAATGTACCATAGTGGCTATATGCTTAAGGGCCATAGCCACTATGGAAATTGGGTCAAGAAGTTCATCATATAACTTTTAGGTGGAAATGGGGAGATGCACCATTAAAGCCAAAGGCTCTTCTTAGGTAACTTTAATTCCCAAATATCTTCTCATATTAGTCTTAACATTTCAAATTAAAAATTATATGAAGTCAACAAAATTTTGTGAACTTTATTTGTGGAATTCATAATTTGTTCAATCAGAAAATACTAAGAATAAGATCACTGTACAATTCACACATCCATATATGAAGGATTTTTACTATTGTTGTGAAATTCACTTACAACTCTTATACTTTTTGTACTTAATTCAAGCATAAGACTTGAACACCCAATTCCAGATAAATTTTAACCCTATGCATTTCTAATTCCATAAAAGAAAAATGTAAAATCTGGAACCAAATTATAATAATTTCATAAGAACAATGCATTTCTTCCTATTTCTTCCCTAATTCTTATCCAACTACACCGTAAAAATACTGTAAATACATAGAAAAACTTACAGGGACATGGGAGTCTCTGGCGTTTCTCTTTGCATCAGTAGCAGAGAAGACAGTATAAACAAGAACAAATGTACCCACAATCTCGGCACCAAGTCCGTCTCCTTTTGTGTAGCCATGATTCACCATGTTGGCTCCGCCACCCAGCATCTGGTACGGCCTTGGCTGGAACCCCTTCACGACGCCGGCGCCGCAAATTGCACCCAGGCATTGCATCACCATGTAGAATATGGATCTGGTCAGGGACAATTTCCTCGCCAAGAACAGTCCAAATGTCACCGCTGGATTTATGTGCCCACCTGATCAAACCCATGAACAGGTTGACGTAAGGACTCGAGAATTTCCGAGAAGCAATAATATTTTAAGTTCATGGGAGTTACAGTGCGCGAAAAGAAAATCATCAGATTTTCTTTTCCTGCTTGGTTACCGGGAAAAGAAAATCCAAATGGAAATTTAGTTTGCATGGGAGTTACAGGAAACCTATTTGGACTTTGATCACCATTTTTTTCATTGGATTTCCGGTATGGTTTTCTTCCCTTCTTGTTTTCTTAGAAACTAAACATTAATCAGACAAAACCAACCCCCACAAATAAGACCAAAACAGAAAGAACTTTTCATCTCTCTCTCCTCTTATTTTCTCACTCTTTCTCAGCAACCAAATAGAGACTCTCTAAATACATGCAAGATGTAAACTTACCCGGAAAAAAACAGCAAAAAAATATTCAAAAGAAAGAATAACTAACATTAGGGGTAAGATGAGAGATGTAAGGAAAATACCAGAGATCCCAGCAGTGCAGTAAACCAGAGCGAAGATCATGCCACCGAAAGCCCAAGCGATGCCCTGAATACCCACAGAGGCGCACTTGTTGGGTGCCCTGTTGACACCCATGACCGTCAACACAGTGATGTAGAGGAACAAGAAAGTAGCCATGAACTCAGCAATGCCAGCTCTCCAGAACGACCAAGAATGGAGCTCGCCGGGCTCGAAGAGCGGAGCTGGCGGTGGCTCCTTGTAGTCTTTATCTGTCTGAGCCGATGTCCCGATAGGTTGCCTCTCTGAGAATTTGTTTGCCCCAAGCTTCACATCCTCTTCTTTCCCTTCCATTTTCTTCTTCTTCTTCTTCGTCTGTTAGAATGCCTCAAACGAAGTGTACCAGTTGGAAGAAGCTTGGAGTTGGAGTGAGTGCAAAGGATGGTCAGATTAGAGTGATTTATAGAAAGTATGTATTGTACTGTTTAAATTGTTCAAAACGGCGTCGTTTTCTGAAACATAGAAATTCGACACGTCCATTTATCTCAACAACCACGTGGACACGTCATGTGGTTAGGTTTATGTGGGTGCCTTGGAGGAACCAAAAAGTAAAAAAGTGAAGAAGGAAGTAAGAGAAGAAGGGGGAAATGTGTGGATGAGATGAAACGGGGCGTTTCAGAAAGTGACAACATCAAAAGAATAGAAACTTTGGAGTGTAGCAATGAGTGAGTCTGCCACCATTTCCTATACAAGTGCGTATCACGCAATGAGTCTAACGGCTACTTTACGCCATAAATATTAAATATTTTAAGTTCGAGATTTTTTAAATTTATAATTATAAAATATTTGGAAAAATATAAAAAATTATCCTTTATTATATGTCTCAGTTTAACAACTTAAAATTCACGAGTTATGAAAATTTACCTTTCATGTGAAATTTATTTATAAATTATATTAAGATAAAAAAAAAAATAAGATTTCATGTAGAATTAAATAATGCATTACGAATTTTATGGAAATTAGTAAAATTTAAAATTTATTATTTCAATTTCACATAAAAATTTATATAAATCAAATTTTGTTTTTTTGTTTTTTGTTTTTTGTGAGACTCTTTTGATTTTCTTTTTAAAATAAATATATATAATTTGTAAATAAATTTAACACAACTTTTATATGTGTTCAAAACATAAGCTTACTAGATTTTCTAAGACTATTTTTAGAATAAATATAAATTTTTAGTGAAATTTATTTATAAATTAATACTTATGTTATTTATAAAATTGTTAATTTTATTATAAAAATTGACTTCACATAGATTTTTTCAGGAAATTGTACGAAAATATTTCTAATTTCATCAAATTTTATCAAACCTAGAATATATTATTGCAAACCTACATGAAATTTTATATGTAATTATTTTTTTTATCATTATAGTACAGTTTAATTATCTAATATATAGAGCCAATATAAATTTAGAAATCAATTTTATCTATTTTTAGATAATGTAAAAATATATTTTATCTTTTATATCGTTAGATTTGGTTGTACTTTTAGTGGTTAAATTTTTTTATTTACTTTTTAAAATTTTTTATTAGTGTTTATAATTTAAATGTTAATGATAGTGTTCACAAATTTGAGAGGGTGTTCTACCAGTAAAATTACCATCTAATCCAGAGTTTGACCCAAACAAATTTCGACCCAATAATCAGAACGCAAAGAACCGAAAAGCTTGCCTTTCTCTGCCTTCTTCCAAATGCTACCTCCACCCTACCTTACACATAATTGGAAGACTCGCTCCGATCATATTCGAAAAGAGCGGAAGAAAGAAGCTGAAGATGGAATCTTTGGCAGCTGAAATTGGAAAATTGACGGAGGCTTGATACTTTTAAGGAATTAGAGAAGCAATGAAGCGAAGGGGAAGACTGGATTTTGGGTATTAAAAAAGAAAGAAGCTAGGGCATGTGAGAGAGGGAACCGAGCAAATTTCAAATTAGGGTCAAGGAAATGAAGAGAGAATGAGTTGACTGAGGATGTGAGTAACTTTTCCTCTATGATCTTTTCTTATTCAATGGTTTGGTTCACATTCTTTCACCGATTTTAATGTCTGATGATATAATACCCGAGCCCGGAAATTAACTCGGAATAAATTTTAACAATTTTAAAATATATTAAAAAAATATTTTATAAATTAATTTAATTTAATTTTTGTTATATTTGAGAAAAAAATATAAATTAGAGATGAGACTAAAAATAATTTTGAAAAAAAATGTTGAAAATTTGAATTCTTAGGTGTTTTTGAAATAAAAATTAAAAGCAGATGGTTAAAGTGCAAATAAAAAAAGTCCAACAGCATAGGATTGCTCAGTCAGCAACTTCAACAAATCAGAGTGCACCGCGTGGCAAGACACGCTGATATCGGTGTCATGCGGGAGGCCATGCTGGGAATCCGCATGTCCTGCGATCGGACAGTCCAGGATCGATCTCGCACGCGTAGACGATCCGGATCCGTTTTTTCCTTAGGTGCGATTGAACGGTTGAGATCAAACGTGATGAACAGTCCAAATTCGTTTCTTTCTTATGCACAATCGAACGAATGAGATCGATCGCGATGGACAGTCTAGATTAACGCGGGATGGGTATAAATATTTTGTATCACACAGAATCTGAACCCTAGCCCCAACCCCACCCCCACCCCTCAGCCAGAGAAGAATGATCAAATGCTAAAGAAGGAAGCCGACCGCTTATCGCTGCCGGATTGAAGCCACCTCAGACCGCCAAAAAAAGTAAAAAAAATCTCCTACCCGCTCGAAATTCGATTTTGAGCACCCTTGTTGCCATATCGGAACAAAATAAATAGTGGGTGAGCCAAAAATCGCGGGCAAAGTCTGGTAGGGCCACGGCGGCCCAAAACTCGTAACCTTCTCCAATGAGCCCCTTTCCAGTTCCAGTTTCGTGCAATTTTTTCACCGTTGTGTTTATCGTTCTATTTTCTGTGTGTTAATCGAATGAGGAATCCCAGCTGCGAAGAAGAGCCGACGGACCTACTGCACCCAAAAATCCCACACCGGTAAGTTTCAATTTGTCGATTTTTTTGGCCAACCGAGGCTCCTAATGTATTTTTTTTGCAGGGATACGTGTAAAGTCGGCCGAAATTGGCCTAAACCGACCGAAAACGACCAGGTCAAGGCAAACCGCTACTGAGAGCAGTAGTGTCGTTGGCCGAGCACGGCGGCGCTGAGTGCTGAACCACAAAAATTGTCTGAAATGAGTTTTGGACACCAATTTTGGATTTTTGGAGTATTTTTAAGTGTGTGATGAGTGTTTTGAATTCTACAGAAAAATTCAAGGAACCTGATACTCGTTAGAAGGCGTAGTAGACAACTGAACATCTTGAAATGCCGATCCAAGTAAGAATCTCTCACCATATTCCCTGTTATGGAATTAAAGCTTAATAATCAATAATATGGTATTTTGTGAAATTTATAAAACTTTGGGAATAATTACAGGTCACTAATAGAGCCGAAACTGGTTATTATTTATTTGTCCTGTTTAACTGATTATTTACTTGTACAACTTTAAATACATAATAATATATTGAATAGTTAAATGATTAAGTTGTATTTCCTTAATACATATATCACTTATTTGTGTGATTTATGTTGATTTGTGAAATGTGAAATTAATATAAAAATGAGAAATTACTTGATTATGTGAATTAATAAATGATTGTCTTACTGGATATTCTGAGAGATGGTGGACGAACCGGGTACATAGGGAACCCTACCGTGAACATTACCTCATAGCGGACAGGGTATCGAGGGATGGTATTTTTAGCGCTCATACCGGATAAGGTATGGAGACAGCTCAGTTCACCCTTATACAGGACAGGTTATCAAGGGATGACATTTTTGGCACTCATCGCGGACGGGGTATGGGGACGACTGGTTAATTGACAAGTTTAGATATTGGGTTCGCGCATAGGAGGACATCCTTATGGACCCTTAGAGGTACCAGTAAGGAGATAAAAATGAACGTTGTTATTCTTACTCACTTGTATAAGAAATTGTAATGTTATTTGAGTTATTGTCTTTATAGATCGAGTTTGAAAATCTCATAACGGTAAGTATGTAATAAATAATTTTTCATATGATAAATGAACTTACTTAAATTAAGAGCTCTATTAGTCATTTTATAATTTTTTACCAACCATTAGTTTTCGTATCGGTGAATAGTTTGATATTCTTATTAGACTAGTGTAGTTTACTTCTATTAACTATTTAGATCAAGAAGATCAAAATCTAAATCCTAATCACCAGTAGGGCTGTGAGTAGGTGTCCCCCAGATTCTATCAAGAGCTAGTGGAGGTTAACCTCATTACAATATTTATTTACTATTTTCATATGTTTATTTCGTTTTTTTTTAATCGCTATGAATA